TCTGCAGTTTCTACTATCTCTGGAGTACAAAGGACCTGCTTTCCAGGGTTAGGGACACTTAGCGTCCTGACAAGTTTTGACAGAGTCAATGAGGAGAGAATGTTTCCTCTTGCAGGAGAATCTAGAATGAGGATTCACTGTTTAAAAAAAGAATCAGTGGTTGACTATTTAAAACAGAGATAAGGAGAAATGCTTTGGTCCTGTGGAGTTGTGAATCTTTGGAGCTCTCCCCCGCAAAAGGCAGTGGGAATGTTTTTAAGGGGTGAAGAGTTATCAGGGGTAGCCTGGAAAGTGGATTTGAGGTTCTAATCAGAGCCTATTGAACGATGACATGACTTGGAGGGGCAGAATGGCCTCCAACTGCTGTAATTTGGATATGTGCATGACTTCCCTTGATGCAAATGACTCCAGGACAGAATCTACGCGGCTCAGCAACACTCTAGTGTTATATCTCTGACATCTCTCCGTACCGTGAAGTAGAATTGCTCTGTTTCCTGTTGATTGGCTCGTCTCTTGGCGATACTAGGCTTACTCATGAATGTTTCCGAAAGGGTGGATTTGACAGACTCGGTGGAGTTTGTGTACTGGAAGCAGTCAGACACATCAAAGTCTTCGACCGTGACCATGTCCTGGATTGTCTGTAGCGTAGCCTCCATGGTCTTCTTTACCTGCAGTTATTCAAAAACAAACGCAGATGTATCCCAGCAAAGAGACCGACCTCTGGGAACTTCTGGAACTGCCCTTGTTCACAAAAAGGGGATAAAAGATTTTTGATTTGTAACAGAGTTAAAAAGAGTTAACATTTCGATTCAGATATGACTCTTCTCAGGACTGTGAAGAGCTGGAAACTGGTGGTTTCTATGCTGTAAATGGAGAGGGAAAAGGAGCGGGCAGAATAGATTGTGACAAAGAGAGTGCTAATTGTAGTAATGGAATGATTGAGTTGTAAAATAGGTGTGAATGACCGGTCAATAAGACATGGTTAGGAGCGAGTAGGGGAATGGAAGACAAAGAGAGGACAGAGGGTGGAACTCAATGTTGAATCTATTACAGGGTCAGAAACTATTTACCCAAGGGAGTAAGGTTAGACCCAGAATTAAATCTACAATGTGTAGAGGATGAAAAGAAATCAGGGACCACTGTGTAGGTCCTGCTAGACTGGAAACAAATAAACAGGATGACTCCCTGATATAAGATTTGAAACACTAACTCTGTGCCTCCCCACAGATGCTGCCAGACTTGCTTAGATTCTCCAGCATTTTCTGTCTTTGTTTCAGGTTTCACGCATCTGCAGGATTTTGTATTTGGAATGAATGACTTTCAGGAGCAAAACCATCCAAGTTGTTGCATGCCCTATGTATCCTTCATCAGGAAAGTTAAAACATATGGGAGCAAAACGGACAAGTATTTATAATCAAACACAGTAAATCACAAGCAACATCATTTCAGTGAAGACAAATGCTCCCTGATCAAACCCTAATGTTCTCAATATGTCAAATGTACATCAGAAAATCCAACATTATAGGAAACCCACTCTTCCATGTCTTGGAAACTATTTCCTCTGGTGAGTGAATCAAGAATAAAAGTACATCACTTTAAAAACAATACAAAGCATTTAGGGATGAAATTACGAAGTAATTTTCACCTCAAGAGTAAAATAAATGTGAAATTCTCTTCCACAGATGCTTCTGGACATAGGGGTGTGTGTGTGTGTGCGCGCGCGAATGGGATATTCTAGATGGAAATCGACAGTTCTGTTGGATATAAGTATCAAGAGATATGCAGCAAAGGCCAGTGAGTGGTGCTGAAATAAAGACCCTGTATTTGTGCCTATCTCTAAGTGCTGTTGTGAAGTTGGGTAGAGTACTTGTGAATTGGAAGGCAGGATGTTAGAATTTATTTGTAAAAATGACGGGGGTGGGGTGGAAGAGTGCATGATCCCTTTAAGAGGTGATGTGCTTTTCTAAGCATGGAGATAAAATGCACAGGCAGTTCTGAAATTGTAACATATGTACGTTGTTGGAAATCTGGGTTTGTTTTGATGTTAAGGCAACCAGCTTGAATATCAGCCAATTAATTTAAACCCAGCACTTAGAAACTGAAAACCAATTGCATTTAATTCTGATGGTGTTGACAACCTAAGACTAATCCTGTTATAAGAAAATTGACAGGTCATCAAAGGTATATAAGAAGAGGGTTTTTGCAAAGCAGCGCGAGAGTGAACTGCCATCGTAAGAGTAAAACTCTGGCTTAAAGAAATCTTTAAGCTCTCTGATTAAGCACCATCTAAAACATACCAAGGCACTCTTAGCTAATATTCCCAACACAAGGATTCAAAGAAGAAAGAATTTCTGACTGAAAATAGTGGAACATTCCCGAAAACGCATCCTGACTGCAGTTTTGAGAGTCTAAGTTTTAATATATTTTTTTCTTATTACTTCGGTTTATGTAAGTGAGACTTGTATTTATTGGAACAGCATACCATCAGAGTTTTGTTTTATTCAGGAATAGTTAGTAGATAGGGGAGAATGTTCAGTTTGTTAGTAGTTATGTTAATTTGATCACTGTTACAGTTAGATTAATAAATTGTTATTTGTTGCTTATAAAGTGAGCATCAGGGAGTTCATTTCATTTAACCACCCCTCAGTAACAGATTAGGGACTGAGAGGAAGGTTATACCATTTTTCATACTTCCTTGAACTAAGTGATTTGTTTGGCCGTTTCAGAGTACAGTTCAGACTCAATCACTTTACTAAGAGTTTGGGGTCACATGTTGCCCAGACTGTGTAAGGATGGCAGATTTCCTTCCCTGAAGGGTATTAGTGAACCTGATGGGTTTTTTCCTGACAGTCTATGATAGTTTTATGACATCATTGCTGAAGTTATTTGCTTTATTAATTGACCTTAGGTTGGACAAGCTGCTGGGATCTGAACAAGTTTCTTCAGAACAACAGCCTAGATCTTTGGATTACTAGACATTACTATTCGGTCACCATTCCTCTCAATCAGGGGCCGAGTGGCCTCCTCTTGTCCCTGTGTTTCTCATGTCAACAGAATGAGTCAAAAAGAAAAGGTTTAACTCTTCAGCGTTGAAAGGAGGTGAGTGAAGAGAGAACTTGGTGAGGAGTAGGGAATGTGGAACAAAATAGGTTCATCCTGAGTCAGGGTTTTGTTAAATCCAAGCCTGCGTGACCTGGTCACACTGTCATGAAGCACTTGTTCACACAGAGGGGACCATTGCAGTGTCACTGTCATCAACTGAGAGAATGCACCCATTGGCAGTTACAGCAGCTGCTCAAAAATTATTCAGTGATTTCGGGATCTTCAACCAACTGTGTTGGACCTGGTGCAGGAAGCATCGCAGTTCTGAAGCTGGCAATCAACTGTTTATAATGTTCAGCAACTCTAAGGCACCCACCTCCTCATTCTCAATCTTCAGAGTGGCCAACCTGGACTGCAGTTGCTGGCATCGTAAAACCAGTTCCCCTTGAACGGGCTGCTGGGCACACAGATGTGAGACCTGCATGAAAACAACCACCAGCATTACCACAGGGCCAGAAAGTAGACACTATCACAGCTGGAGAGAAAAAGAAGCTAATTCTAAATCAATGACAGTCAAGGTTGTGAAAACAAGTTAGACTCAAGGTCAACACAGAAGAATAACAACAGAGAAGGTATTTGTTAAATAGATGGAAACTGCAAACGGCACAATGGTGGAAATGTGATCCTGCCCTCTTGAGGCTGGAGATCTGACACAATGATCAGTGATCACAATGGTCACAGAGAGAGGTCTTTCTTTCTGAGAATGGAATGGCTCGATCACAATGGGACTAGGGCAGATCTAACATATTGACAGAAAAACCATCCATAATTTGACACTGACGCAACACTGAAGTAGTTTTACTTTGCAAAATAATTCAAGAAGGCACTGTTGGTAAAACAAGCAATTATTAACAGTCAGGAGCTGCTAAGAGAAGGTGACAGTGGGTAGATACTACCGGTGGGGACAGGTCTGTCACTGTATAACACTGGGGTACAGTACCGGTGGG